CGTCCATGTCTACTTCGTTTCCACCCCCAAAAATTTACAGAGGCTTCCTCCATTTCCGCCGCCGCTCTCCTCCCTCATAACGCCACTCCCCCTTCCTCTTCCGAAGCTTCACGACAGCTCTCTCTTGCCGGAGGGAGCTGAAGCCACCATGGACCTTCCTCTCGACAAAGTCCCTTTCCTCGAAATGGCATTAGACCTCGCCGAACCGTCGTTCAGGAAACTCGTCGACGATCTTCCAAATCCGCCGGACTGGTTCATCGTCGATTTCCACGCTACTTGGATCTGCAACGTTTCTCGAGACTTGCAAATTCCTACTCTGTTCTTCAATGTCATCTCCACGGGATTTCTCGCTTTCATGGAGAATGTTTTCCGAGATGGATTTCCTGATATTCATAAACTCACCACGCCGATGAAACTCGACGGATTTGAATCGGCGGTTTCGTTTCGGAGATTTGAAGCCGCCGCTTTGATCTCTGAGTTTCCGGTGAAAAATGTGACAGGGATGAGCGTTCATGATCGCTTGGGGAAGATTATTGCTGCTAGTAAAGCGATTTTGCTTCGTGCTTGTTACGAATCGGACCGCCATTACTTGAATTTCTACAGTGAAGCTTGTGGGAAGAAAGTGGTTCCGTTAGGGTTTCTTCCGCCAGAAAAGCCCCAAAAAACAGAGTTCTCTGTCGATTCGCCATGGAAATCGAACTTCGAGTGGCTCGATAAACAGAATCCGAAGTCTGTGGTGTTCGTAGGGTTTGGCAGTGAGTGTAGATTGACGAAGGATCAAGTTCACAAAATCGCGCGGGGGTTGGAGTTGTCGGAGCTGCCATTTTTATGGTCTCTGAGGAAGCCGAGATGGGCGGCGGAGGATGATTCCGACGTGGTTCCGGTTGGATTTCAGGATCGAACGGCGGAGAGAGGGATTGTGTGTATGGGATGGGCACCGCAGATGGAGATTTTGGGGCATCCGGCGATCGGAGGGTGCTTCTTTCACGGCGGGTGGGGATCCGCCATTGAAGCTCTGCAATTCGGCCATTGTCTTGTTTTGTTGCCGTTTATAATCGATCAGCCGCTGTGTGCGAGGCTGTTGGTGGAGAAGGGCGTCGGAGTTGAAGTTGAAAGAGAGGAGGCGGATGGTTGTTTCAGTGGAGAAGCCATAGCCAAAGCTCTGAGAAAAGCCTTAGTTTCAGAAGAAGGGGAGAAGATAAGGAGGAATGCGAAAGAAGCTGCCACCATTTTTGGGGACAGAAAGCTCCAGCAACAATACATCGACCATTTTGTGGAGTTCCTAAAAATGGAAAACATTCCTAAATGAAACTCTCCCGTTTGCATTTTTATTAAATAATAATCAAATTTATCCCACTTTCTAATATTTTAGCGTACTTCACCCTTCTCCATTCTAGGCTCGCCCTATCGAAAGTTTTAACATAACAACACAAGTTTATTACTTGAAGATATTGTCCGCTTTGGCATGTTACATATATCATTATGTAACTTCTAGCCCTAGACCGACGCTGTTTTACAATACTATTTTGTAGACCCTAAGCTCACCAGTCTCTCGCATAACCATTTTGTAATAGTTCAAGTCCACAGCTAGCAAATATGGTATGTTTTGGCCCGTTACGATATCAAAGTAACTTCACGATCTTATAACAAATCTACTAAGAGAGATTTACACTCCTCTGTAATAAATGTTTAGGGTTTAGGGTTTAGGGTTTAGGGTTTAGGGTTTAGGGTTTAGGGTTTCTCTCCAACTAATACTAACTTAAGATCTTTTAAAAAAATTTAAATTTTATTAAAAAAAATGGAAAATGAAAGTGGGTAGTCATGTTAAGCCATGAGCTGAGACCTTGGGCCGATTTGATCAAGAGCGATTCAATGGGCCTGGATCTGTAATTCTTTGGGCGGCCCATTCAAGCCCATTCGTCAAATTTAGCTATTGTTTGAATGGAGGTGGCTCATTAAATGTAAATCCTTGCAAATTTACATTCAACTAATTTAAACAAATTCTCGACCAAAAAACTCGATTAAGTCGGTAGAATAAGGAACGAATAATGCTCGTTCTCATAGAATTACACATTTGGAAATTTCGAGATTATCTTGTTAATCAAATATCTTTGAGCTTTAAGTTACTATACAAGTAAGATTCATCATGTCAAACTTAAATGATTCTAACCATACAATCTAAAACACATAGAATTGCAGAAAACTTAGTCCTTAAACCGAAGGAAGTCCACATGCTTTTTTTTTTACTAAGTTTTTTAGTCTTTTTTTTTTTACCGTGATAACATATATGACTTTATATAGCTTCAAAATTTTTTATTAAATAAATTAGTCCATTTTAAAATAATTTAATTTTAATAAATAATTTGTAAAGTGGGTTTCATATTTTATTGAAAATATTATATTATTTTTTATTTATTTTTAAAACCCGTGAGCGTGAGAAGTGGGTAGGCATCGCCCATCGGCGTTCACGAGATTATTATACAACAAAAAACTCACAATCTCCGAGAAAAGTCCAAAAAGGACAAATGTGGGACCCACTCACTAATATAAAGTTAGGGGCAGATATGTAAAATCACAAATTCCACTTCTCTTATCTCCCCCATCCCCTTCCCACACCCCATGCTTCCCACTTCCAACTTAAAATTCCACTTTTATTTATTTATTTATTTCTTTCTTTTCTTTTCTTTTTCTTTTTTTATTTTTATTTTATTTGTGGCTGAAATTTAACCGCAATGTTTAGCTTATAGGCTACCCAAATAAACTATACATTAAAAAAAATTGTATATAGTTAATTGAAATTATTTGGTGTAATTTATTTATTTTTTTAAATATAATAGTGGGAGATGAGGGGAACAAAACATTCTTACAAACATTCTTACAAACATGTGAAAACTTCTCCCTAATAGACGTGTTTTAAAATTGTGAAGTTGACGACAATATGTAACGAGCAAAAACGGACAATAATATCTATTATGGTGGGCTTGAGTTGTTATAATGATATCAGTGTCAGACACCGGACAGTGTGTTAGGGAGGACGCTAGCCCCAATGGGGTGGATCGTGAGATTTCCTCGGCTGGAGAGGGGAATGAATCAATTTTTATAAGAGTGTGGAAACTTGTTTCTAATAGACACATTTTAAAACCATGAAGCTGAGACGACGATACATAATGGTGCTGTTTGAATTGTTACACTGTCATTCTTGTACCAATAATGGATTAAAAATATTTATTAAAATATTATTAGTGACATCTTAGTATTTTAGTTGTAAGGATTGGCGTGCGGTGTGATTTTTGAGAATATAGTTTCGTCTCAATCGAGCTGTGTTATGCTAAAGGAGAAAAATCTCTCTTTATTATCTATCTTTCCGACTTAAATTAGTTGTAACTATTTTTGAAAAATGACGGATCCAAACTTCATCAGATAATATTTAATTTATTATAAAAGTAAATTATTTATTTGCAAATGGTAGGTAGAACAAAGACATCTGAAATTTCTACTCATAAAAGGTTCGTGTATATACATAAAGCGAGAGGAGGGCAAGAATTTGGCGGGATTGAGGGCGAATATAATTCGGTCCCGGGACGCATTGAGTTAAAGGAGAGAAATCTCTTCGGAGTTACGGACTTAAACCGAATATTTGTAAAATAATAATTAAAAATAAATAATAAAAAAAAAAACTTGAAACAAAATTCCTTATTTGCAATGGCGTGGTGGGTAGAACGTGAAGGCATCAAACAACTAAAAGTTAATCTATAAAACCGCCCACTCACTCACCCTTCTCCCACACTCACAAACACAACTTCTCAAACCTCAGTTTCTTTCACAAATCATCACAATGGAGGAACTCTACAAGAAACCCATTAAAGCTCAGGTAAGAACACGAGGAATTCCTTCTCCAATGGCTTCTTGCACAAAAATCTCTTCAAAAGCTTCCATTTTTAATGGCTTTTCGCTTCAAATCCGCCGACCCATTTCCCCTTTCTAGCATTTGAACAAACCCTTTTAACCTTTTTTTGTAATGCCTTCATATTTTTACTTTGTGTTTAGAATGGAAATGTTGTTCTTGTTTTCACAGGTAGTGAAAATGGCGATTTTGGTGCTTATTCTGGCGGCGGCGATGATGGGGGAAGTTGAGGGGAGGAAGGGGAGAAAGCACAAAAAGGGGAGGATTGTGGAGGGCAAGATGATTGAATATGGGGCTATAAGTTGCAGAGCCCACAGTGCTTCCATAACGGACTTCGGCGGCGTTGGCGACGGAGAGACGTCGAATACGAAGGCGTTTCAGGCGGCTGTGGAGAGGCTGAGCCAATACGCCGGCGATGGCGGCGCTCAGCTGTATGTGCCGGCGGGGAGGTGGCTTACCGGCAGCTTCAACCTCACCAGTCATTTCACTCTGTTTCTGCATCAGGATGCTGTGCTGCTTGCTTCTCAGGTTTCACCTTTTTCGTCTACTCTCTCTCTATCTGACATTTTTCTCGTTGAATTATTTTTAAAATGTCTCTATTTATTTTTTAAAATATTTTTTTTTTCCTAAATTCATAATTTAGAATTTATAAGTTAAAGAAAATATAAAACATTTTTCAAAATTCACCGATTAAATTAATATAAAATTTGATACATTAAAAAAAATATTTCTTTGAGTAACATTTACAAAAACATTATACGAAAATGACAAAAACGCCCAAATGTTCACTTTTTTTGAAATCATTCCTTTTCATGTGAAGACAATTATATCTCTACTAGAATGCTCGTTACCCTTTTTGTAATTTATTTTTGTTTCCTCATCATTAATTTTTACTATATTTTTTTTACCTTTTAAAAAATATTTAAATTTTTAGTCGAATTTCAAAAAAAAAAAAAAAAAAAAAAAATTATAGAAGAGATAATTAATTAAAAGAAGTCAAAGGCAAAGACATTGGTGTCTTGAGCTGATGGGTCAAAAGTTGGGGCAGGTTCTTCACCAACTTTTTCTAAGTGGTTCTAAAACAAACAACAAGAAATTGAATGATTTTGAAATCCATTGGATTCCATGTAAAATTAGGCCCTTAAATTATGCCTTAACCATTTGAAATCCAAACACTTACTGTGGTTAGGTCAGCTAAAGTTGTTCAACCGACTCTAAGGTTAAGGTCCATCCCCATCTTACAAAATCATCGAGTCGAAAAAATCTTAAATCAACTAGACTTGTCGATTCAACGACTATAATTTAAGGACTGATTTTCATCTAAAATTGACTGATTTTCAACTTCTTTGATAGGATCTGAACGAATGGTCTGTGGTCGAACCGCTGCCATCCTACGGTCATGGAAGGGACACATCGGGGGGACGGTACATCAGTTTAATCTTTGGAACAAATCTCACTGATGTTGTCATCACAGGTAAATGTCCCACTGATATACCCTCCGTCTGTCTCTCATTTTTCTTGACTGGTGTCTGAAAATTTGAGTGCAACACAATCGACATCAGGAAACAATGGTACGATTGACGGTCAGGGTGATCGCTGGTGGCAGCTGTTTCATCAGGGAAAGCTTAAGTACACCCGACCGTACTTGATCGAGATCATGTATTCCAGCAATATACAGATATCGAATCTGACCCTGCTGAATTCTCCATCTTGGAATGTTCATCCTGTTTACAGCAGGTAACCAATTAGTTATTTCGTAGGAACAATGAGTACAACATTCAACATTCCCAGATTTGATTCACTTGCAAATGCTATGCAGCAACCTTGTTATTCAAGGCATCACCATTATCGCTCCAGTTCGATCTCCGAATACAGACGGTATCAACCCAGGTTTGTTCACCAAAGCAACTCGAACTTTTCGAGAAGTAGTTTTATACATCTTGTTAAACCAATGACCGAATTCATCTGCAGATTCCTGCACAAACGTTAGAATTGAAGATTGTTACATAGTATCTGGAGATGATTGTGTAGCTGTTAAGAGTGGTTGGGATGAGTATGGCATAAGATTTGGATGGCCGACTAAGCAACTGGTCATCAGACGCCTCACGTGCATTTCACCTACAAGTGCTGTCATTGCATTGGGAAGTGAGATGTCGGGTGGGATCCAAGATGTCCGAGCCGAAGACATCACAGCCATCAATTCCGAATCCGGGGTTAGGATCAAAACTGGCATAGGAAGGGGAGGATATGTAAAAGACATATATGTAAGGAGGATGACAATGCATACCATGAAATGGGCATTTTGGATGACAGGCAATTACGGGTCACATGCTGATAAGAAATACGACCCCCACGCATTGCCTGTAATTCAAGGAATCAACTACAGGGATATAGTCGTTGAAAACGCAACAATGGCAGCGAGATTGGAGGGAATTTCGGGTGACTCATTTACAGACATCTGCATTTCCAATGTGACAATCAGCATGGCACCAAAGGCCAAGAAACAGCCATGGACTTGCACTGATGTTGAGGGAATAACCAGCCAGGTTACTCCTCCACCGTGCAGTCTGTTACCCGATCAGGGGGAAGAAAAGATTACAACATGCAAATTTCCGGAGGACACTATACCAATTGAAGCAGTCGAGTTGAGAAAATGCTCATATCAAATAAGTCATGCATGAAGCTTTCTTGCTGTGTACCAGAAAAAGCTATATCGAGTCAATATATCGTTACCGATGGCATAAAAATCTATCTAAAAATGTTCTGTAAGACCTGTATTTTACCTTTCCAGCACAGTTATGATTAATATAGGTAGGCTGGACTCACCCATAGAATGTCATCTTGATTTCTCTTTAAAAGCAACTAGCGAGTAAATGAAGTTATATGCCAGAAAAAACTAGGAAAACGATGAGATAAGATAAGGAAAATGTTCAAGATGTGAGAAGGATCCAACCATCAAGTACAATTCACAACCCCACTGCCAATTTGTGCAGCTAACTCGCAAATGTTCACCGGCAAGGTTGGCGGTTCTAGACCGCGACACACCGCATGAAAACTCATGCTTCTGATCTTTTCCATCTGTCACTGCATCAGCAAACAAAGTTTTAAGAGACACAATGTCATAATCCAGTGGCTATAATTATAGCATGTGACCGGTAAAGAAAACTTTAGTCAGCAAAGCTTCTACTTGAACATGATATACTTTTCCATTTCATTCTCATTTCATAGTACAACATTACACACTCAAACCACAAAATTAAGAAAACATAAAGTATTCTTACACAGGCTATACTATGACAAGCAAGACAAGATATTGTACATTCACCAATCAAAAGATAGGAAAATAACCAGTTAAACCCTTTCATATAGACGAGCAAGCTCAGACTCCATCACGGTTGCCTTGTAGACAGCCCCTCCATTCCCTGACCAAATACTGTTTCACTTGATCTAAGATTTGAAAGCAATGCATCACGTCCAGATAAAACAACGTGAAAAAACTCATCAACTTGTTTTGTAAGATGATCAACACCTTGTGTAAGCTTTTCTGCCTCGCTCCTCAAATCTACAATCAAATTTTGACATTCTTCCACTTTCATGCCACCATCAATATTTTCTTGAATCATAGAATGCAGTTTTTTTACACGCTCATCAACTGCATCAAGAACTCTCAACGCAGTAAACCTTCCACTGGAATGATTTATTTTAATTCCCATATTTACATTTTTCTGTAATTCAGTAAACGCTTGTGCCCATCTGTATGTATCCGGAACATGGATGGATAACAGCCTTTTGGAAGAACCGGAGAAGGCATAAGCAAAAACACTGCAGATAAACAAAGTTGCCACCTTCACTCCGTACATCACTTGCATCAAAACCTTGCCTTTGGGTGAGTTCTTGACCTTCGGAAGATCAAGTAATTCCTCAAGATGGTCCATAATAGGAGAACGGTTCTCAACTCTGGAGGTTCTGGAACTAATATGTTGATTCCATGCATCTAACGAACAACGGGCCGGAACAAACTGGTTGGAAGATGTAGAAGCCAGATTGTGCAGGGCACACCGAAGTATCAGATGACCCTGATTCAACTGTGAGAGATCAGAGCTAAAATCATTGCATATGTCAAGTAATTTCACACTGATGTCCAGGTACTCATCTAGCCATTTCTCACCCCAGTCAGATACAGGGAGCTCAAGATCTCCTATAAGAGTTTTTACATCATTGTGAATTTCACACAGCAGCTTCATTGCTAATCCCATCCATAAGAAGCTAAATACGTCATTATCTGATTTAGGAGTAAGCTTTGTCAGCTTCTGTGCCAAGGAATCCTCAAAAGTGGCTAAAAGAAAGACAAGTCTAGAAGACAATTTTGAACCCTTTGGCGATATTGCACGGAAAGGATTCCCAAAATGAAAGAAAGGCCGGTGCGGCTCTTGCGGTTTGCTCATTATATAACACGAACTGCAAGATGTATAAAAACCAAGGATGAGCTCTCATTTGAACCAAGTTCAAGATAACCATCCATCATGCCACTTTCACATGGAATATTGTGTACTAAAATTTTAGATGCAATTGGTGCCCCGAACCTTCCATGGAATTTCCAAACATGGCATATTCAATTTAGCCAATGTAGGGCAGAAGTAAAGCACTGATGAAGGAACTAGATAAACCAACTACTAACATCAGTAAACAGCCAAGTTCCCAGTTTAACAAGGAATTCTCCTTGCAAACAACAACTCAAATAGCTAGTTTTCCAAATGTAATGTTACAACTTTCAACCTTTGGAATGAAAATATGACTCTAATGACAGAACATCCCAGAATTGAATTTATTCAAAAACCCAATCAATTTTTTTGTAGCAAAAAGCTCCAGAAGTAAACAAAGGGAATTCCCAAACCAGAATACAACAACACAAGTTTCATCAATGCTACACCTAATATCAACAAACTGCACAAGGAAAACAAATAATTTTCCACGCATAAAATTGAGGGGGGAAAATGGTCAACCGTCAATCTAATTTTCAATATTCTGAAGCAGCAAAAAACACTATCTTTTCCTTCAAACAAAACCTTAAAAACATTCCAAGACACGCATTTCCAGAGATCAATTTCTACACCAAAAAAAATTGTAAAAAAAGTATAAGAAAACACCATAAAAGGGAATGTATATTTACAAACAATTACAAGTAAACTATCAAAAAGTACAAAAAAAAAAAAATAAATAAAGAGAAATCAAAGTATCAAAGTTACCAATTCGCACATCTACGAAGAACAATCCGTTTAGAGCAGAACAAATGAAAAAATCCTTCAGAGATCGACACCAAACATCTATTAAAAGAAAAAAAAATCACAGAGGCCCTATATAGTTACATCGAAACCTAAATCTACATACAGCAAACAGAATAATTTTGAAAGCAATAAGATCAAATCATTTCGAGAAAAAAATGGAGCGGCTCCTACCAGATTCAGAAACCAGAGAGCAAAGGAAATTTCCAAGAAATTATCGCAGCTAGGAAACGTTGAAATTGTGTGATGGAAATGAGGGGATGTTTCTGAGAATTGATGATAAAGGCATTGATAAACTAACAGGAGAGGTACGCAAATTGTGCGAAAGGTGGAAACGTGGACGAAATTGATTGGATGTTGACGTAATTTCTTTTCTTTTTTTTTTCGTGACCGTCATGTGGAATTTAATTTCCTTCGCCGAATTTGTTTCGTTCGGGAATGCGCTAAAATGACTGGGAGGTTACTCACGGACAGATTACAGGACTTCTGGCACTAAATGTGGCAGATTTTGACTGGTCTGGCTGGTGGAATTAATACACTTTGACCGTTAAACATCTTCCACGTTTGGACGGTGTGGATTTTACGTCACATTATCATATAAAAACAGTGGCAATGAAAGTAAGAAATTTTAATTATTATTTATTTATTTATAAAGAAATTGGATTCGTGAAAATGACTTGATTTTATTAATTTGTTATAATTATAGCGATCTTTTATTTATTATTTATTTTTACAATAAAAATGTTGAAATTTTTTAATCTTTGAATTTTTGAAGTCTTAAAAAATTTGATAAAAACTCTGAGTTGGTTCTAGTATTAATCATAATTCTTCGTTCTAGTATTAGTCATAGCCCATACTATTGAAATACCATCGAAGGAGAATTTTGAATCTTAACTAAATTGAAGAGCGGACTTCGCTTCATTCTAATTAAATTGTTTTAAGCATAGGCTAACTGATTAAGATATTACCTCCACGAGATTCAAATCTCCACCGAACACAATTATTTATCAAACCATATACGTTCAACAGCCCACAGTTAGGCTTCCAAGTAAAAACAATGAACTAGGAAACCTCAACAAATGGGAAAGCTATTCTGTATTGGGAACACAAGCAAATTCGCTCAAGTTTGATCCAGCACACTTGGCCCCAACTCTGCAAATGGAGTTCTACACTGTAAAAATAAATGAATAAATACAAAGATGCAAATTTTCAAAAAAGAAAAAGAATAAAAATTATGTTACATAAATGGCCCAACTTCATAAAGTAATAGAAGCACTTTGAAACTTGCTCTCCAAAAGCAAGGCTTTGGATAAGGGGTTTTGAAGGAGCTTCCCAAAGACATTCTGTTTGACAGAGTGCTTGAAAAGACAATGTATGGTGGAAGATAAACCAAAGGATTGATCTGATCCCTTCAGAAGCATCCACAGCCAGCTTGGGAGGAAACTTTGGGCAGCCTAATGTGAAGATCGGACAAAACCCCGTCATGTTTTCGATGTCGAATGCCTCTGTTCTAGTCCACATCTTGGCCTCGCTGGTCCAGTCAGAACAGAGCAAAAGAGCACATGAAGGCGAAGATGCAGTTGGAGATGTCTCCACCAAACTTGCTGGTCACAGGGACCACACTTCACAAGCATACAGTTATAGGCTACACAATCTCACTGGAAGTTTCAACCAATTCCACCAACAAAGCTGGTTAGGTGCTTGACCAAACAATTGACAGGAAGAACGTTCCCCATAATAAAAGGGTGTAATTTTAGATGTACAATGACACAAGAGCTATCTTTACCAAATAGAAACTAGGTGCCCGACCCTAAAAGGTAAATAATAGACAATGGCTTTGTTTGGTCAATATCAAGTCAGAAAGCGACTAGGACTTAAGGAGCCTAAGCAAACGCTGCACATCGAACCAGAGAGGAAGTGTTTCGATTGTTATAGCTTCTTCTGTAAGAATGGGACTTATTTAAGTTTAGAAAAGCAACCTATCTGGAGATGTGATGCAGCTGAAGCGCATAAACAAATTCTATAAAGCAAACCCTATACTTGTTGATTCAGCTCCCAACATCAGAGAAACTTGCAGTGTCAGTCGTGTAAATCAAGCCAGTGTGATACGTTATTATCTCCACCTACTTCATGTTGAAGTTTCCATTGTCACCTTCACTTACATTAGAAGATGCACCTTCGTATTTCGGGTTGTTAACTTGTCTTGGAATGACCCGGTTCTCATGTTGATGGCCTTGAACCGAATGAGAAGAATTCTTACCGACCCGGTGTTCCTACAAATTAGTTAAAGACGGATTGAGTTGGGAGACTGTTAAGAGCAAACCAAAAAATTCAAATAAAGCTTAGATGCAGCTTCATACATCATGAGACAGCAAATTATCTGCCTCAAGCATGTGGATGACATGTCCCATTTTCGGCCTCTTCGTAGCATCAGGATCAACACAGCGAAGAGCAACCAACAAAACCCGTTTGAGAGCTTTGGAAGGAGGCTTATCTGGCAACTTGGGGTCAACCACTTCCTCAGATTTTCTGTCTCCAACCATTGCTTTCAACCAATCCACCAAATTCACCTGTAGTTGCAATTAACATCAACTGCATAAGTAGCAGAAAAGAAAAGAACGGAGATAACACTAATGCATTAACTATTCATAATTGAGCATTAGATGCAAAGGAAAACTTACCTCTCCTTGAGGTCTACTATAATCAACAGGGATCCGCCCTGAAATTATCTCCATAACTAGAATTCCGAAGCTATAAACATCACTCTTTTCATTCAACATCCCAGTGCAGGCATACTCAGGTGCAACATAGCTATAGAAATCACCGAATGACTTACCATCTTATGAACTATAGAAAATAACAATCGAGCATAAGATATGAACTAACCCAAATGTGCCCATTACACGAGTTGTCACATAGCTTCTTTCAGAACAAAGAAGCTTGGCCAGCCCAAAATCAGATACTTTAGCATTCCACTGACGATCAAGAAGTATGTTGCTTGATTTTACATCACGATGGACAACCTTTGGTTCAAGACCCTCGTGAAGATATGCTAATCTATAAATAGAAAAAAACAAAACAGAGAGAAAGAACTGCATTAGTGGTATTGCATGCTGCAACAAGAATCGATAGCTAATCCGCAATAACCCAATTACATACCCCTTTGCTGTTCCAACTATGATGTTAACACGAATCTCCCACGTTAAAGGGCTAATATCCCCAACATCGCCATGAAGCCATTGGTCTAGATTGCCATTGTTGATGTACTCGTAAACAAGCATTCTGAAAAAAAGGGAAAAAAAAAAGAAGTTAATTTGTTTGCACCAAAAACTCTCTAAAATTTAAAGAAAATCAACAGTACCTATATGCACCCTCAACGCAATATCCCAGCAACCTGACAAGATTCTTGTGTCTTACACGTCCAATTGCTTCCACTTCGACTTTGAATTCCCTCTCAGCTTGACCCCTAATAAACAAATAGATTAAACTTCAGCATCGATAAAATCTTCAAGCCAAGAAGAACATGCCAAATCAGAAACACAAAAGGTTGTAGCAGTTTGAAACTTTCCCTCCCCCCAGAGAAAAAGAAACAACTACATCAGAATCTCTATAGCACCTTCTAAGTTCCAACACATAATTGACTTAGATTTCTTGAAATCAAACAGAACCACTCCCAACTAAACCAAACGGAGCCCTCAAGTTGTAGAAGAAAATTAAAAAGTACAAAAGCAAGGATAAAACATTATAGAACTAGTCCACACGATCACCTGTTATTCAAGAGGTTCTTGATAGCAATTCTGGTACCATCTCCTAAAATGCCTAAATACACGATTCCATATCCACCTTCTCCAATCACATTCTCTTCACACAAGCAATTAGTGGCCGCCTCGAGCTCTCTCAGAGTATACCATCTGCCCCAACCTAGGTGTGAAACCTCAGGACCGACAGTAACAGATCCAAAAGAAGCATTTTCACTCACAGCGCCTCTACTCTCACCACTAGAGGGTCTATCGGAGAAAACAACCCGATGCTCCAATTTTCCAATCTCGACATGGATTTCCGGCTGCACATGGTGGTGATGATCCGGCACAGCGTGGTGGACGATTTCCTGGATCACCTTCGAAACGGCGGGAGGAGAATGGTCGGTTGTGGACTTAGGGAAACGGATTTGGTTCTGATGACGGTTCCGCTTGCGAGAAGTGAGGCAGAGTGAAAGAAGAAACAGTGCGAGAACTATTAGGGCTCCGACTAAGATTCCGATTACAACCCAAAGACGAAGGCCGAAAATCGAGGTCGGTTTAGCGAGCTCCGTGTTCACAAATGCAGCATCATAAATTGACATTTCTTCTTATTGAATCGATTGAAAGGGATTGAAAAGAAACTAAAGAAAGCAAATCAGAGGGTTTAAGGGCATCGACCTCATCGGGAAATCTGAACAATGGAGGATTCCGGCGGAATTTGCTAAGAGGGAAAATGGAATGAAGAAGAGTGGAGTGAGAATAAAAAGAAAAAATGGAAGCCTTAATTAAAGCTTATGAGCAAATGGAGTAAGATAAAAGGGATTTTTTTTATATATTTTTAAAATTTTTATAAAAATATATATATATTTTCCTTCTTTTTTAAATGATAAAAGGGATTCGTATGTTTTTTTTTTTTTCACAATGGATGAGACTGGGGTCCACTTGCTTTACATCCTCCGACTTTTCTCACCTGTCGATCAACTTTTAAAAAAATTTAGTCCTTTTTTATATTAACATTTTATAATAAATCGCAATTTTATTTTTTATTTTTTACAAATATTTTATTTATTAAATAAATAGATTTTGAAATTTGGTGTGAAATATATCTTCTATGTATTAAGATCTTTTTAATTTTAAAAAAAATAACACAAAATTAAAGTAAGATTTAGTATTAATTTTAAACCTTTTTAATAGAAAACGAAGTTTTTTTTTTTTTTTTTACTTGTTAAAATTAAAAATTGTTTTAGAAGTAAAATAATATAGAAAAATATATTATGTGTACCTTTCAAGTTTAAAACAAAAAAGAACAATATGATCAAACAAGGAGCCATTGACAAATTTCCCTATAATTTTCTATGCCTAAAGCATTCTTTACAAAGACCTAGGAATCTTAATAATTAAATCAATATCTTAGATTCACTTTAAACAAATTGTAATAATAGATTTGATCCTATGGTTTTCCAAATAATTAGTGATAAACATATTTAAAAAAACTACTTAAACCCTAAACCATAATTCCTAAATTTTGAACCATCCAGTAATTTATATCTACAAGTTATAATTACCTTGATAATTAAACCTTTATTTAATTTCATGAGTCAACTCAAAATAAAAGGTAAAGTAGTGAAGGGACAAAAATGAGAGTTTTTCTCTTCTTTTTCATTTATATTTATTCCCTATCCTCCCCACTTGAAATAGAAAATTTAAAATTCTTGAATGAATCAATAAAATATATTAATAATAAACTAAATAATTAATCTTTTAAATAGTAATAAGTGTATTATCTACTCGATTATTAGGATTGAAATTACTTTAAATTTAAAATTTAATATTAAAATAAAAAAAAATAATTAAAGAGTGATACCTTGGTGAATATTGCACTTAAACCACAGATGATCCTTTTACAAGATTGATGGATCCCATTTAATTGCTTTTCTGTCAAAGAAAAGGATTAGTGGAATCATTAAGAGAATCTAAATGAGTTAAAGACAAAGAATGGCAAACTTCATAAAATAATATGGAAAAGGAAATTCTCGAGTGGACAGGCAGTCTCTCAATTGGCTGGAATTTGTTAAGGATTTGCTGTTTGGTTTTTGTTTTTGTTTTTGTGACAGCCAATTGTGGGTATTGATGAAAGCTTCATTATCCTAAATTTCAATATTATAATCTTGGCATTTTATTATTGGGTTATAATTCCAATGGTATATATTATTGGCCTATTTTAGTCCTTCTTATGCACATGCTTAAAGGTTAACTATATGGATTGTCCACGTGAAAGCCATCAATCAATGCCTATAAGCTCTTAGTTCATGCCACTTAAACCCACCGATTTCTACCAACCCAATAATATTTGAAGGTTAAATATTCCAAACTATCTGTATTTTATAGAAAAGGTGAAAAAGTATTAGCTTTTTTGCTTGGGTATTCCCATTATTTATAGTTTAGGTCTTGCAAAATTGCTATTAAGCAGATAAAAGGAGACATCAACATGCTTTAATACCATTTTAACACAACTACAACTATCAGATGACAAGGTTAGTTGAATATTAATAGTCTAAGGATATAAAGGGACTCGACTTTTTCTAGATAAGTGAAAAGAAATACCTCGAATCAATATTGAGCACCCACACATTTAAGTGCTAAAGAAACTCATGTTATATTCCTAAAAAGAGGCTAAAACGAACTTCAAAGAAATAGAATGTGTGACAATCACAAGTACCAAATAAACTTAGGACCTATTCCTATAGAAAACTCAAATGAACTTCTAACGAAAGTATAGGTGCAAAATACCTCGTAGAAGAAAGAAGAGAACTCCAAGTCTAGTCCAAGAAATCTGCATAGAAGAAAGGACTCCATTCCTTGAAAGAAATGATTAAAAGTCCCAAAAAAAACGAAAGGTTTAAAAGAAGACATTAGAATTTTCATACAAATAACAATTTAGTCTCTAGACAAGCCACTTTTGCCCTTATATCTTAAGTAAGCTAAAAGAAGTCTAGTCTATAAATCATGATATGGTGTGTGCCCTTGTAGTAATCGTTCATACCAGAGGCTTTATATCAAAATTACTCAAAAAGAAAGAAAAAAAAAATCAACTCATCCTGACAAGAAAAGTTCGAATAATTAGCCACGTAATTGTTGGATCATGACCTGCATAAATGAAATTTTGCAAAAGTATCAACCTGCATTTATAAACAAGATTAGTTTGTACTCTGAAGCTTTGCAAGAAGTATAAATTAATGCATTCCCATTCCTCTTGGTCGTCCATTCTAATCACTGAAGGCTACGGCATTGTAATGCCTCACAGTCAAATTTATAATGCCTTAACTGGTTGAACAAGCCTACAAGCCAACAGGACTCGAACTATTCAAACTATTGCACTTCCTATTAGAAGGTAGGATTTAGGAGACAGAAAGCAACCAACAATTGCAACAAAATTCATTGAATTGAACTCAGTAATGTCAGAACTACAATTTCCTTAAAAAGAAATACAATAGAATTCTACCCCACGAGATTATGCAAAGAAGAGTCTGATCGAGTTAATACAGAGACATATATGACAAGCAAAGAAAAAGAAAAAGAAACTTTTTTTTTTTTCCGTTTTGGTGTAAAACTAAAACAAACATGCGTCCCCCCTTCCTTCGGGGGATTCTTCTCTAGTATCTCTTTCTCCCCACCAAACAAAGTCTAATCAGGTAGTGTAGTGGAACGTCAATTCACCTGCTAAGTATGATATAACAGAGCGAGGTTGGGTATCATTCTTCCTTCTTATCCGCTTCGTCAAGCGCAGCCAACCGTTCAACAAGTGGAGGATGAGAATAGTGATACGCAGAGTACCAAGGATCTGTATTCATGGCAGACAAATTCTCCTCCTGAAATGCAACTTTTATTAGTCTACCATGCAAATTACTTTATCACCAAGGTCCTTGTATAGCGTGTAATTAAAATGCAAATGTGCCAAAAATAAAATTCAAATGCTCAAATCAAATGTGAAGCAGGCAATATATCATATGAGTAAATGAATTTCCCTAGTTATCTGTAAGAAAGAAATTATGAATATCTGCTAAAATGGCATGATTGACGCGGAAAGGAGAGGAATGATCGTAACCAAAAGATAGTGAAGGAAGTTCACACCACATGATGGAAACTGTAGATAAATAATAACCTGTAGTTTGACAAGACCAGCACGGAGAGCTGCAGAATAACCAAGGTTCTTTGCAAAGGCATCAGCCTGCGTTTGGTCAAAGAAGAAAATATATTTTTGAAGATCAAAACACTCTTACAGATAGAGGATAACAGAAAACTGTAACGGCACAAGTTTTGGACATACCTGGAACTCAAAAGATCGGCTGACAAGGTTGAGACCAAAGCTTACTAGGTGCTGGAGAGGTATTACAGTGTGCTGCACATCCAAAGGCAACATAAAGTGTACATGTTTAAATTCTGTTCGAAATAAATTCCATCTCATTTTTCCTACTTTAAGACATTCTTGGGTTTTATACAGCATTTTAATGTGTTTTACAGGCCACTGGAGTGAAATGATTAATTTGCATAGGGTCATAAGAATTCCTCGAGAATGAAATATTTAACTGTAAACTTCAGATTGAAAGCGAAATGAAGCAGTTGCTAGTGGAAATGGTGCAGTCAGGAACTGGAAATTAACACAAAGCATGCAGCTTGTGTATATAATTGTACGGGAAAAATTATAATATCATATTCAAAAACAGAGAACGTAACCAAATGCATTTGGAAATCAGGATGACAAGTATTAATAAGATGCATGCTTACAAAGCCAAAACCTAGGAGGAAAAAAAAAAAAATAGTAGTTACACATGAACATAGTAGAAAAGAACAACTAATCAATTAGTAGGCGCAACTTAGCATGTCAACTTTTGATTTATAATTCAATATTCTATTTTATCATACCTGAAATATAATGAGTCCAATAAGCACTGGCTGAGTATCAAACCCAAAACTTCGAAACAAATCACTGGAATTCCTCACCAAGGTATATCCCCCAAATTGCAAAAGTGTAAGAATCTGCTCACAAACGGTTAAAAAGTAAGCCTTCTCAAACTTGAAAGGCATAGCCTTATCTTGTTCTTAGTAAATCTGAAGGATACCAGCATATGAACTTACTTTTTTTTTTTTTTAATGAAAAACTGACTTTCACAATGAAAGAATACACAAGCTTACCAAAAAAGAACAAAACCCACAAAAAGAGAGACAACTGCAGGAAGGGGCTCAAGCACTTTTTCTTTAATAAGAAATTTCAAGATACCATTAGTGAAATGGAATCAGCAGTCTGCAATTACTTATCCATTAACAAATGATAAAATGTCCATGATATAACCAGCACCTTACTTATTCTTCAAAACAAGCATAACAAGGAGAGAGCAGCTTGAGGTGCCGTAGTTTAGAATGTCCCTCAATTATTTGACAGTCTGACTAACTTGTAAATAAATAATTCTTTTTTTTTTTTCTAAATAACTCTTTAATCCATATAATTCTCAGTTTATCTTCCTAACAAATTTGGGCAAGATTTTAAACTGATGTTTACGGAATGTTCAAGAAAAAAATTATAGGATGCATAATGCTACAAACTAAAGTTCGATTGTGAATAGAACTAATCTCACTATACCTGTAAAGCAATGAATGAGTACATCGTATGGTTTAGCTTCCAATGCCCCAATTCGTGTGCTATAACAGCAACAATTTCCTCATCATTTTTGCACTATTAAACAGAACGGGAAGAAAGTAAAAAATTGCTATGAGCAAGACATTTGAAAAAAATATAAACAAGTAATGAAGTATTAAAATATACTGTACAAGGTTCTGTCCAAAAGTAAGTTCAGCAAGTTAAAGCTTTAATATTACAAAAGATTTCCACAACATTTCAACTTACCTGTTGAATCAACGTATCATAGAGGACAATTCTCTTATTCTTGAAGAAACCATACATGTAAGCCTGCACAGAAAGCAGTAATTTGATGAGATCATCACAAAAATCCCCCACTAGAGGAATTATTCATTAGAAAACAAGTTGGTGTGTGTTCTGTAATCGTCCAAAAGGACCAAAACTAATAACATTGGAAACAGATATAAAAGTTCCAAATCACTTTCTGAATAATACTGTCAATTACTAATTGATAAAGCGGGCAAAAAGAAGAAACCGATATAGATAAGATATCAAAACACAAGTAAATAAACGATCAAAAATCAAGAATCTAAAGAGGGCAAGATTGAATTTGGTAGTCAAGAGTTTTACATTGCTATGACTTGACCTCGTGGATCCATCAACAACAAACAACTTCTTCAGTGGGAACTTGAGGGAGGAAGCAAGTTTCTCAATCTTCTCCCTGAGATCACCTGAAGGAAGCTATTTTTGCAGAGCATTAAAGTGGGATGACCAAATGAAAAAACGGTATCCAGTCACTAAATCTTTGATCAAATTACAAAAATTAGAATACTCACAGGGGTAAACTTATTGAAAAGAGGAGCGATAAGAATGGGATAGAGAGTCATCATCACAAGAGATAATGTGAACATAAACCCCCAAAGATAGATGGCAAGGTAAGGGCCTCCTTTCTGTATAAAATCAAAAGATGTAATTAATTCTTGCGTACTACAAAAGGGAGTATATAAAGAATATTATTGCAAAAACAAAGGGTAGATAGAGTGAATAGAAGTAAGAAAAGCACTCCAGGAAAAATAAACATTACGATGATATGCTTCTGTATGATTATGCAGACAGCGTAAACTAAAACTACTAGCATAAGCTTACCTGTACTATTATAATGATTGCAGACACAATTGGTGGGCCAAGTAAGATGGACAACAAAATCCCTTTAATCATATCCCTAAAGAATAACCATATTGTTTGCTGTAGAAGAGATAATAAAAATGGCATTAGGAAAATAATAAGGAATTAGACTGGACAGCGTTGGAAACTTCCAAGTGCCTATAGTGGAATGCCACAGGAAAAATAGTTGTTTGATGCAAAAGAAAATTGGACACCTCACATTGTAGTGAGATTTATCACGTTCGGAAAAAATACATACTTTGTTGAAACCATGACGGGATTCGATCACAAAAGTCGAGTAGAGAGAAAATGGTAGATCTGTGACCTGCAAACCAGTTCAGAACAAATGATCAATGTAAAACCAACTTCAAACCATAAATACCAAGTTCGCTCTATAAATGAAAATATTTAGAACTTTCAAAACCAAGCAATCAAGACATTAGTGAAAAAAATGCAATAACCATACAACATACAGTAGGAAATATTTCCAAAATAAGGACATAATGAACAACGAAATTTAGCTATTTCTAACACTTTTTAGTGTTCATCCCTGTCATTGAGACTCCATTTCTTTCTTTCGATTTCAAGTTAACAGAATTTCTCCGATTCATCAATTATAATGCAATAGGATAATGCATATAGAGTTTGATCTCCAATTTAAATGTAACAAACAAGTTTCTAATTCTCTAGTCAATTAAAAAATATAAATTAGTTGTTGCTCCTGTTTCTGGGGCCTCGAAAACCCCGGTCACAGAAAATGTTTCCAAACCCAATTGATAACATCAAAATCAATGAGTCAGACGACAGCATGCAGCTTTGTACTGTATGGAAATGAAGTATTCTGCTCTGTACAATACATGGGGATCAAAGAATATGGATTGTGGTCTTCAAAAAGCAAAGCAGATCAAAGCTAAATAACTTCTCTATTTCTAGAACATGGAAACTAAATTGTGATTTATGAGCATACCTGTGACCAAATCATGACCCCAGCTAAAAACGAAAGTGTGTGGAGAATTTCATTTTCAGCATTGAGGCCAACCAACACCACAAACTCTCCAGATTTCTGCATGGCAATAGTGGGCAATATGAAATTTTCAACAGAAGTAATGAATAAACTTGAATGAATGAATACTTATTAACTATAATTACTCACCTTCCAAAACCATGGCAGTACTCCAAAAAACAGTATTGAAGAATCCATCACTATAGTCACGAACTCATGAACAAAATGGAAGTGGCTGAAAGTCAAGAGGCACGTGTGACAAAAATTAAACACCAAAATAAATACAAGTTCAAGTTCAGGGGAACCTTTAACAAATACTTTCAAGCAAGACGAACCTTTTATCGAGACTGTAGGCCCGGGATTTTTCAAACTTCTCTTTGCTTATAACTCCTTCCAGAGTTTTTGGAAGAGTTGGCAGTTTCAGAGCAGCGTGTTGCCGTAGATCCAAGTAAGTTTCAAAAATATACATTAATATCATGAAACCTGAGGATAAAAATACATCCATCAGAAAAGCAATTATTGCAATCTTTATCTCTACCAATAAATTGACCACCTCTATAATGACAACTAATTGAGAAGTAAAACTACAAGAACCGATCTACACATATACCCGTAAAATGATTTCTTTCTTCAACGATTCAGCTTGACACTAACAGAAACCGTGACTCTTAGTGCGTTCATTGAAATAAAACTAAGCGATATAAGACTCATTTCGATATCAACTTGACGCAGTCCCGTCTTCTGAACTGTAGGAGAAGATATTACAATTCAACCATTCAAAAGCATTCATAATCATTTGCGACCACTAATTATACTTAGGAGATGCCACTCGCAAGCATTACAACGCCCAAAATCTTAATATCAATAACACGAACGTAAAACCCTAACAGAAACATAAAACTTCCGAGAATCTCGAAGGAATCGAAAAGTTAAAACATACAAATACGCAGTAAAGGTCAGCGGATCTAACAGGCTTCATGATCGTCGAGGTTACGAAAACGAACAAGAAGTAGCGAAAACACCAAATCAAAAACCAAACATCAGGCATCCAAACACGAATACGGAAAGATTACATGCATAAACATTGACAGAAACAAGAAGTAGGTGAAGAGTGAGTACCAACAACAGCTTCCATGTACGGAAATGCCATGGCTAAAGAAAGGAATCAATCACTGGGGCTATGCAGAGAACGAGGGACGACGGTGAGTTGCTTTTGCTTAGCCCAGGTAGTTAGCCTTTGGAAGATATTTATATCAGAAGTGTCTCGGACGGGTCGGATCTTTCCGATTCCGGATACCCGGGAAGCTTGAATTTGTCACTGATCCGACTGTCCATTTGATTATGGGAAATTTTTGCCGCGTTACGATGCTATTCTCAAAATTCGCGGTAACTTTTATTTTACCGTCAAATCAATCAGTCACGTCATTTAGACACTTCTGCGATACTCTCTCTTAAATAGTACGTAAATTCGCCGTGATAAAATATTTGGTAAAAACAATTTTTTTTGGGGGGGGGGGGGGGTTTA